AAATAACTTTAAGAAATTACGAAACGAAAACCTTTAAAATTAAATTAAAATCTAGTTTTGTGTCACCTTTAAATTAGTCTTTCGTGCCTGCATCGTCACTTGAAATGGCTCAAAGGTAACGCTTTTAACTTCCTTTTTGATAATTTTTCAGCCTCGGGTTAAAATTTTTTAAGGTAAAAAAATCATCAAGAATCCCGTCTGTTTGGTTGATGCGCTCTTGGCTCAAGTTTAACTAATGATTTAGAGTAACTACCAAGATTAGTCTGACAGGACAGTACCGTCAAGATCAAGTATAGAGTTAGAATTGAGCAAAAGCTGAATAGTTGACATTCCTAAGGCTGCATATCTGATTAAATTCAGAATTTTACGGGGGCGTGGGAACTTCCTCATTGTCCCTAATTTAGTGACGGATTTCCTCAGTCTTCTAGAAAAGAAGAGGCATTACCCAAAAAATTAAGCTCAACTAAAACACGTGCATACACCTTATCACCTCATTCTTGCATTTTCGCATCTCGATCGGAAAGGCACTTCATAACGTAAATTTGGCAGGTTAAATTGCTGTTTCGCTCAACATAAGCTGGCCCTCATGGTACATAAACATTAAAATGAACCTCAATTTTGTCTAACAGAGGTTTCAACTATCTTCCATTAGACTTCTCATGAGACTGATAATATTGTGAAACGATCAATATGACAAATAAAACTGACGTATTCCAAATATCACGTGTAAGAAATACTCTTTCCAAGACTTCACAACAACTAAAAACGGGCCATTTCATCTGTCGCTTTTTCTAAGTCCGAGATCACTTTCCTAATACTGTTAACCATGTATTATCGTTGTAAACCCCACTATGGAATTCCAGCAATTTCCCTTGGATGCACATTTGCTCTAAACTGTCCTACGATGTTTCCCGGAGGATAGTATCTTCCGACGACCACATGTCTCCCATCGGGAGCTACAGCCATTCCCATTCCAAATTCTTCTGTTCCTACCCAGACTAACTGCGTGAAATGCCCCGTATTGGATGTGTAACCTGGGCAATCAAAGTCGTATTCTTGAACTTCATCATACCACAAGTCTACCGCTCCTCGAGCAGAAAGCGGGCTATCCCATGTGTAGGCCAGGTTTTCCCCGCGGTCCTTTTGCCCGCTGTGAGTAAGTGAGCCTGTCTTAATCAAGCGATCTGCGTAATTCTGCGCTTCGGCAGCCAATAATGGAGACCAACGCAGAGGAGGAGCATTGTGAAATGTACGGTAGTAATTATGTGAGATGACGCACTCGGTTTTAAATTTTTCTGATGACGTAAAAAATGAGGAAATGAGCTTACAAAAATGAAAAGTGTGAGTAAAGGAAAACAACAGAACATGATATAAACCTGTGTAGAATGGCAAACAGAAACGAAAAAAAGCAACACAAAATAAGGTTATGAAAAAACAAGGATGGTCTTTGTCTCATGAACGCAATGTATTAACAGCGCAAGAGGATGCTCACGAGGGCAATGAAGCGATAAATTTGGTTATCAATCCGTATTTAAGAGTAATCTTAATTAATCGGTAATCGAGCTTAGTCTTCCAACTAGATGTGGCCTTCCATTCTTACATATAGTCTCACTTCCTCTATCTAGTTGGTGTGCTACGCCATTATCTGCCAAAATTGCTATGTTCTTGAGTAAATTTAAGCAGCTGTCTGTTTTAGAAAAATACACATAACGACATGCTTGAAACCGCATGCCTCAAAATTTTCATTCCATGAATGCCGCGGTAGACAAACAAGTTATCCACCGGCAGTTGAAGTTCTCAAGTAAGTCTCTAATTTAATCATGGTCACTACCTCTTTCCGCTGGAGTGGAAGGCGGAATTCCTGACCGGGAACGTCTCCTGGCACTTGACCTTCGTCTTCGCACTCGGCTAGAAGAATCTTTAGGTGGTTTTACATTGTCTTTAAATTCTCCAACGACGTTTCCTGAAGGTTTATACCACGCCACGACATACTGAGTTCCATCATCAGCCACAGACTTCCCCACACCGAACTCAGAGGACGAAGTCCAAACAACTTGCGTAAAATTACCACATTTGGCGTTAAAGGCAGGATCATCAAAATTGTACTCTGATGATTCTCCATACCAAGTGTCAACAACTTCGGAGCCACTAAATTCTTTTCCTTGCGAAGTTGCGAGATTTTGACCAAATTCTTTCCCGTCGCAGCGCTCGAGGGAGCTCACCGATGCCAAATATTCTGCCCACTCTTTTGCGCCAGCGGCGAGTTCTTCAGACCATTTCAGCGGTTTGCATCGGTGTTGCCGCCGGTAGAAGTTGTGTTGCAAAAGACAATCTTGCTCAAAGTCATTTAATCCTAAAAAATACATTTCCAAGGATATTTTGTTTAGTCACAATATTGCTCTATCAAAGAAACCCTCCGTGATTATGTATAATACAAGGAACAGAAAATCATCACGAAAAAGAGTAGAGAGCATTATACCTTGAAAGTGAAAGGAAAAAA